AAATAGGCACAGTAAGAGATAACAATAATAAAAGAGAAAAATCACAACAGTGTGCTAACAAAAGCAAAATTCACTATTTTGCCTTTATTAAGTAAAATAAGAGTAAAGTTCAAACGTAAGACTACAATGCTCCCACAGTTACTCTGATACAGTCACTTTTTTGTTGTTGTCAGTTCATGGGGCTTGAACTCTGGGTCTGGGTGCTATCCTTGAGCTCTTCAGCTCAAGGTGAGTGCTCTACCACTTGAGCCACCGTGCCAGTTCTGATTTTCTGGTGGTTAATTGGAGATAAAGAGTCTCACACTCTTTCCTGGCCTGGCTTTGAACTACGGTCCTCAGATCTCAGCCTCCTGAGTAGCTAGGATTCAGACGTGAGCCACCGGTGCCTAGCTTACAGTCACTCTTAATTGTTAAGTGATTGTCAGGTAGATTGCCTATATTATAGGTACTATGCATGTAGGGATGAGTCACATCTCAAATCAGAGGATAGACTGGGGTGGTAGAGTTCATCACACTATTCAGAACATTGTGTTTTAAAACCTACAAATTGCTCATTTCATGAGTTTTCCATTTAATATTTGTGGACCATGGATAACTAAATAATTGGTAAGCAAAACCATGCATAAGTTGGGGGATGAGTGCTATGCTTTTGTTCCTGTTATTGCTTAAACAGGTACATAGTTTAGATTTTTATGTGATATCCAGGTATTTCTCTAGAAAATGTTCTGTCTAAAAATAGGGACTGTCATTAGTCTGAAATCAGTTTTTGTTGTTTGTTTTTGGTTTTGTTTCCTTTTGTTCTGAGACAGGGTCTTGCTGGGTAGCCCAGGCTGGGATTGAGAACCTCTGACTTTCTCATGAGTGCTTTGATTACAGGTGTGTACCACTATTACTCACTATTTGCTTTTTTTTTTTTTTCAGGGCCTGGAGCAAGGTTTGAACTAGGGCTTCATGCTTGTTCCACTTGTTTGTATGGCTGCGGCTCTATATTCCAACCTGACAGTTTTTGTTTCTGTTTTTTTCCAATATAGCTTTTTGCTGTTATTTTGGAGATGGAGTCTAGCCTTTTCTGCTCAATTCTGTTCTTGAATTGTGATCCTCTGAATCTCAGTCTCCTGAGTAGCTAGAATTACAGGCATGAGATATTGACACCGGACTTACCACTAGTGGCGTTTTTTTTTTTTTTTTCAGTTTCTTCTAGGCTTTTCAGTTGTTGTAATTCTGTCCTTTGACTTTTTATGACATTGATTTGCTGTTGTTTAATCTTCAGTAAGCTCATTTTTCTTACTCATTTTTTTTTAAAAAAAATATGTATACACAATCCTCTAGTCTTTTTAGTATTGGGAACAGTTCATTCAGATTTAATTAGCTTTTGTTACTTATGTGGCATAGAGTTTCTTCTTATGCCTAACTGAAGTCTGATAATTTTTTTCTCAATTATAACACCACATGAAATATAATGTGTGGAAAATATGTATTTAGTTTTCTCTAACCTGTAAATCCTCCCTGTTTCTTCATTATCTTTCTTAGTACTTTATTCTTCTTGGGGTATTCTGCCTCCTCTCCCCAGCTCTGTATCCTGTTCAATATTAAATGCTGCTGCTAATTACATGGTAATAGTCTTGGGACCTAGCCTTTTCTTTTTATGGCTATAGCCCCCACCTCAGGCAATCACATCTCAGAGCTAACAGTAAAAGCAATAGCCTTTTTGCTGTTCTTTCCAGACTCTCTTTATTGGGCCCAGTACTCAGCTACTCTCTTTATTAGGCCCTGTACTCAGCTACTAGATTAATCCCCTACAAGCACCTTTCTCATTAAGTCAGTTTTCTGATTGGAGTCTACACTATCAGATTCTAACTCCTCCCAAGCTCTGCTTCCCTTTCCTTATCTCTAGTTCTTCCAAAATGGACCCAAACTAATTTGGTAGTTAGCTCTACTTAGTGTTTCTTTGTTCTCAGCTTATTTATCAGTACATTCTTGTTTCTCTTGGTGTGCTGTTGCTTTTGTACTGGTCTGAATCTCTTATTCCTTTCATTCACTGCATTTGACTCCTCTCTTAAGTTTAAATTTTTTTTTTTTGCATTTTTACCAATATTTAAACATAGAGTTTAGCTAGTAATGAAGTTCAGTCCTGTCTCTTTGTTGTGGATACAGTGCTTTTTGCAAACATTGTTCTGTGTGGGAACTGTTATTTCTATTTCATTTATGGCTCTCTTCTGCCACAGCAGAACATAATAGGTATTCAACACATTTTCATGGCTGAGAGATCTATAAAAGGTTTTGTGCAATGCTTTAGAAGTATCATTATTCTTTAATCTTAAAAATACCAAATAATGCCTTTTATGTCATTTTTATTTTTTGTTTTATGCTATATTTTAAAGATAGTTCTTAGCACAGTAAAATGAAGTTTGACAACATATTACTACAAATGTTAAATCTAGTTAATTGAACACTACACACCTGATATATCAGATTCTCTTAAGAGAAACATACATTAAGGTTAGAGTCATGGCTCAGATGGTAGAAAGTCAGTCAGTAAGTGAAGTGTGAGGTACCAAGTTTGAGTCCCAGTCCTTGTGACAGAAAAAGAGAGAGAGAGAAACATACACTAGTTCCCTGGAGCTTTTTTTTGAAGGTATATACTAATCATAAAGTCAGTACTCACCATTTAATTTATTAAGATCCTTTGAGACATAGTCTTCAGCACACAGAATAAGGACGGTGGCATGGTAGTCTGTGTCTTTCTTCAAAATCAACTTTTTTGTTGTTGTTGCTGTTGTCCTACTCCTAAAAAGAAGCGTTTTGCCTCACAACGTCCTTGGAGAATTAGTGGGGTAAAGCTTGGATGAGAAGTAACATGAGGCAGAAGGCAGCTTTCAAGGTAGCTATCTTACCTTCCTGCCTGCCTCTTTCTCTCTTAAGGAGCACAAAGTTGAAATAAAGATAATTCTCACTTCATGGCACTGCATTAACTTTATCAGTGCAAGGTTCTTCTCTTAGTTTTCTTTATTTTTAGCCCATTGTTGTCAAATGTCTGTCTGTTCCCTTCCCAGCTCATAAAGTACCTACCTACCCTACCTCTGAACTCAGAGCCCGGGGGGCTGTTCCTGAGCTTTTTCACTTAAGGCTAGTGCCCTACCACTTTGAGCCATAGTTCCACTTCTGGTTTTCTGGTTGTTAATTGGAGATAAGAGTCTCACAGACTTTCCTGCCTGGTCTGGCTTTGAACCCTGATCCTCAGATAGCTAGGATTACAAGTGTGAACCACCAGCACCCTGCTATAGATGTATTCATGTCTCTATAGGTGTTTCTAAAGTGTGATTTCTAAAATATTTAGAATTCTGCATTTGCATCCATTCCATTTTCATTTTCCATTCTTTATTATAAAATCAGTTATTTCAAACACCTTGCTACAATGTCCTCACAGTGAACATATCTCTCACAGGTCTATAGTCTGTAATTTGTGTGTGTGTGTGTGTGTGTGTGTGTGTGTGTGTGTGTATGTGTATATATATATATATATATACGCATATATGTATATAGGTATATATATGTATATATTTATATTGCATGTAAGTATTGAGAATTTTCCTGGGAATTTATCCATCACACAGGATGGCTGGACATTTGAGCCTGTAAATAATGACACTAAGTACAGCTGGATTACTTAGCAGAATGGCTTTATCAATTTGCACTGGTACCTACCATGCATGAAAATTGTTGCCTCCCCCAACTTTGAGAGCTTTTTCTATTTTCCACCATTTTAATTTTTCCTCTTCTGGTGGGTATAAAGTACTGTTTCATTACTTTAATTAGTATTGCTTTATTAAATAAGTACATTGAATTTAATCAGAACTCTGTATAATGCTAGCCATTAGACTTCCCTCCCTGCTCATATCCTTTGTCCATTTTTCTGTTGGGTTTCCTGTGATGTTCATTGGTAATTGTAGATTCTCCTTGGAAATTATAGATACTTAGGTCCCTTATCAGTTTTATATGTTGCAAAATCATTTCCTGTCTTTATTCTTCTTAATTGTATTTGTGGTATTCTTTATTAAACAGAAATCTCTAATTTTGTTGAAGTCAAATCCAACAACTTTTTACTTTGTGGTTTACATTTTTTTAGCCTTATTTATGAAGTCTTTTCTAATGTTTTCTACTTTATAATGTTATCTCCTGGTGGTCTCTCATACACACTTGTATATATGGCATTTTGAAGTGGTGTATTTTCTTTTCTTTTACATCTGTGGCTCCCAGGAAGCTGTGCTCTTAACTTTTGACTGCTCTTGATGGAAGAAAAAAATACAAAAAAGAACAAAGATGCTACTTCCCCAAGTCCTGCTATTCAGGGGCCTTGTGACCCTGTTTGTACTACATGAATCCTGTCTGCTTAGTAATTGCTGATTAGAAAAGGATTCTTTGACTTAGTCTTTTAAAAGAATTACACTATTTGTATCTCCAAAGAATCTATTACAGTTCAGTTAATTCATTGGTAACACTTTGCTTACCACCTAGTAGGTTTACTTGTAAATTTATAGGTACATTCTAGATACCACAAATGAGGGAAACCATACAACCTATATTACTTTGGGTCTGCTTATTTCACTTAATATCATTTTTTCCAAGCCTTTCCATTTCCTTTTGAATAGCACAATATCATTCACTCTGATGGATGAGTAGAATTCCATTATATATGTAACACATTTTCTTGATCCATTCATCCACTGAGGGACATTTGGACTGATTCCATATCTTGGCTATAGTAGATAATTCTGCAATGAACATAGTTGTGCTTGTAGCTTTAGTATGGCCTTGTTTGTGCTCTATTGGATAAATTCCCAGGGGTGGAATTTTCTGGGTCATAGGGTAGCTTTATGTTTAGTTTTTTGAAGAACCTTTGTACTGCTAAGTCAAAGCCCTACAAAATAAGTACTAGAAAATGGGTACTTGAAAGAAGGGAAGATAGGGTCAAGGGGAGAGAGATAGAGACTGAAGAGGGGATGGGGGAGAATACAGGCAAGGATTCATTGTATATACCACAGAACTGAGAATTAAAAGGGAAGGGGTGGGCCGAAGGGGGGTGAAGATGTTGAAGTAATAATACAGATGAATATATATATTGTACACATAAACTGCTTTGTTAAATGGCAAAAAAATTAATACATAACCTAAGATTACGTAAGGGAAGGGATAGATTGGGAGGGTGGATGAGAATGCTGAAAGGGGAGACATTGATCAAGATACACTGTATTCATAAACTGCTTTTGTGAATGGCAACATCAAAAGAGTTGTACAACTCCTTTGTAGAACTACTTAAAGGTAATAAAATATTTTTTAAAAAGAAAGATTCTTCGAGAAGCTCTGTGCTGAAAGCTTTCTTCCAAGGAATTTGGGATTAAGACCAATCTTAGCTAGGCTCTTTATAAAGACATGCAAATTGAGAGCTTTGGGGGTGGCTATCTTCCACTATGTGCTTGAAGAAGCTAGAGAAGTTTTCTGAAGAAAAAGAAGAAAGATGTGTACCACAAAGCAGAGAAAAAAGCCTTATGGCCCCATAGAGAGGGAAAGGTTTTGAGCTAGAATGTGAAAGTAGCTGTCTTAGATCCTGATGGCTTTCCAGTTTCTGGTTTTGGTGTCTCCTGAGGCCACATTACATTTCCTTATTTGTATTAGACAGGGGTGGCTAACTGCTGTAACAGACTCCAAAGTATATAATGGTCCTAACACAATAGAAGTTTGTTTCTTACACTAACAGGTCCAGATGGCGCTAAGTTACTGGGGTGGCAGTGGTGTAGGGCTTTGTGCCACAGCTATTTAGGAACTCAAGTTGGATTTGCAACATAAGGCTTCCAGGGTCTCATGGATGTTAGCAACTATCCTGAGAAAGGAAATGATCATGGAGTTGAATACATGGGAAATTTTATAGCCAGGTCTTAAAGGAGCACAATCACTCATATTCCTTTGGCTGGAACTCAGTCTCATGGTTGTATTTAACTCTGTGGGAGGCTGAAGAATGTGATCTTGCTGTGTCCCCAGAAGAAAGAGAAAATGGGTTTGGTGAATAGCTAAATATTATGGCATCATACTTAGTATTGTATATAGTATATACTAATCAGTTTGTTTTCACTTAAATTTGTTTAAGTTGGCTTTCTTTTTTTTTTCTTCTTTTTTCTTTTTGTCTGTTGTGGGGCTTAAACTCAAGGCCTGAGCACTGTCTCTGAGCTTTTTTTGTTCAAGGCTAGTGTTCTACCTCTTTGAGCCACCCCACCACTTCCGATTTTCTGGTGGTTAATTGGAGATAAAAATGATACGGACTTTACTGCCTGGGTTGGCTTCAAACTGCCATCCTCAGGTCTGAGCCTCCTGAATAGCTAATATTACAGGCATGAGACGCTGGCACCTCGCCATTAGTTGACTTCCTTTTTTTTGAACTTTGATGCATGAGATGTTTTAACAAAAGCCATATTTACAATCTAGAAGAGATAAGAACTAGTTAACTTATTTTTTTTTCAGGAAAATTGGGTCGATTTCCACCTATAATGCATCAACACTCAGTACCTGCAGATGGCCAGACCCCTGGGGCTCGTTTCCAGAGGTCTCACCTTGCAGAGGCATTTGCCAAGGCCAAAGGAACAGGTGGAGGCAGCGGAGGAGGTAGTGGAAGAGGCCTGATGGGGCAGATTATTCCAATCTATGGCTTTGGGATATTTTTATATATACTATACATTCTCTTTAAGGTAAGTGGAATCATTTTAATTGTATTATATCAATGAAAATCTAATATTATCATGACAATTGTTTTACAGTAAAATCCTTTAGAGTTTATAAAGATCTGTCAAATCCATCCTCTCTTAGACCTTGCCTTCTTTTTATGAACTATGTAGGAATAGCTATTATCTCCGTTTTACAGATGAGAAATCTTGGCTTAGAATTTGAATCATCTCAGAATTTGCAACTAGAAGGGTCCAAAATGAAGGCTTGAACCTGGACCTTCTAGTTCCTAACCTAATGAGCAATTGAATTCAAAGTCCCTCTCCCTCATCAAAAAACAAAAACAAAATCAGAAGCAAAAAACCAACAACAGCAACAACCCCCCTCCCCCAACTAAGCATCTTAGCAAGCTGAAAAGGCATAAATTGTTTTAAAAAGAGGTTTTGATCTTAGGAATGGTGTAGTGATTTCCTAGTAGCCTCTGTGAGGCCCTGTATATGATGATTGTACCAGTGCCACTTTATTCTCCTTTTTCCTGTAAGAGTATGAGATACTATGTCATATCCTGAAACTTAGCCTGAGAGTTCTTGTAAAAGAAGCTCCCAATTCCACCTCCAGGCAAGTTTTTGTAGGCCACAGGTCTTTGTATTGTAAAGTAGAGGAAGAAGCGTCCTTTTGCACTCCTAAGGAGATTGTGTAAGGTTTTGATTTGAGTTCTTTTTTGCTCAGAATTATTCAGGAAGCTTGAGCTGTCTTCCAGAGTGTTCATGGGTACTGCACCTTCCCTTTTAGAGGAGATGACTTCTAGGAAAGTTTATTTCCTCCAATTATTCCTTAATTATTTTTATTATTTGAGATATGTCTCCAGTGTTATTTGATTTGATTTATGACTTAATTTTGTCTCCCAACCTTTTTTTTTTTATTTAATATGAGGGGTTCCATGACTTTGAGGTTCTGAGCTGCTGTTGATGTGCTATACCTCCTTCACTTCTCAGCTCTCAAAAGGGAAACCTGCAGAGGATCGGAAATGCTCCACCACCACACCTGGAAACACACACAGGAAAATTAGTAAGTGTACTCACAAGTGTTACTGAATCAGATAGCTGAATAACAGCTGGGCAGACAATCTGGTATGTCTCAGAAGTTGCTCTAAATTAATCATGGCATTTTTACCTTAGCTCTGGGAATTCTCAGAAATTTCCAGATTGATTCTGTACTTCCAGAAGTACAAAATCACTAGTTAGCTTTTGATATATAGGTAAATGAATGTGTCATATTTATAATGAATTACTTATTTCTAGACTTAAAAATATTCATAGCAAGGACCTTTATTTCATAGAGAGAAAAAATGAGGCAGAGATATCACATCACTGTCAAAATCACTTAATACCTCTAGGAAGAATTTAACACTTTGGACTCCCCTTTATTATTATTATTATCTTGTATTACTTATACAGGAAAGAATTTCATTATTACATTTCTATACATGTTTTTCTGTTTATAATGTATTCCAATTTCTCATCCTATTTTAAGTTTTTAAAATTTTTTTGTCGGTCATGGGGCCTGAACTCTGGCCATGGGCACTGTCCTTTAGCTCTTCAACTCAAGGCTAGCACTCTACCACTTGAGCCACAGCGCCACTTCCGGATTTTTCTGCTTATATAGTACTGAGGAATGGAACTCAGGGCCTCATGCATGAAAGGCAAGCACTCTACCACTGAGCCCCTTTTCCAGCCCAAATTTTATTTATCAAACCCCATCACAACTATAAAATATAGTTAAAAAAAATTTTTTTTTTGGGTCTGGTCGTGGGGCCTGAACTCTGGGCCTGGGCGCTGTCCCTCAGCTCTTCAGCTCAAGGCTAGCACTCTACCACTTGAGCCACAGCGCCACTTCT